AGCATGGGTGTTAGTATATTACTTTCAGCTGGCCGATATCCTAAATTATGAGAAATAATCATATTATGGTTATTGCATGTTATGTACTACTCCCTCCGTCCCAAAATTCTTGTCTTAGATTTGTCTAGATACGGATGTACCTATTTATGTTTAGGTACATCCGTATCTAGACAAATCTAAGACAAGAATTTTGGGACGGAGGGAGTACCTATTACCCTCATGATTAATGCAGGATTACTTAATCTGCTCTTCTCTTCTCAATGGACCAGTGCAGTCTATATCATCCAAGGCAAAGCTGAAAGCAATGACATGTGAGAGCAAAAGTACGTACTCGAACGATCAAATCTTGCACAGACACAGTCCCACTGTTGGTTAAGCGGCATCTTCAAATTTCACGTGGTATGGCAATTCAGCATCCTTGAAGAGTTGTGGATATTTTGACATGTAGTCGTATGTATCTTCAGATAAACTAAACAGTTGGGAGTGTTGACATCAAAGATGGGATGTGCCACCCTCACTAGGTTTTAAGATGAGCATGCCCACGACAAATATGGTTCATAAGGGGCTAACCGGCAAACCTTGTAGGGGCTATTCACAGGTTCCAAACCCACTGAGGTAGCCTGAACCAAATAACACAGCTGCTCCATTTACCAGGTTTGGTATGGGTTTCAAACCAAACCTGTCTATACTGATACCCAACCAGTGTGGTATGGTTGCAGCGTACCGGACACTTTGAGCCTGAGTTACGTGGTGGAGTCGTCGATGGCAGTATGGCACCGTCTCACATCAAAGCCCAGAACTTGCTGCTGTGTTTCCTTGACATGCTACTACCTCCGAGCAAGAGTTTTTCTACTAGCGATGACGAACGGATCAAGAACCATTCCTGCAATCCTGCTTACATGCCAGTCATCTCTGCAGCTAATGTTCCAAAGGCCTTATACTAGTCGGCAGAGTTAGAGGTGGCCGGTGGGCATCTGTATTGCCAAGGCCTAATATGGTAATGATCGTCTCTTTTTAGCTCTCCTTCTCTTTGACGGACCAATTTTGTTGTATTTTCATGTACTATATATGTAGCTTCTTGTCCGCATAAAAAATTGTGATTTAATCTTGTTCCCACTCTCAATTTCTTTTATTGTAATATATTGTTACACTGCAGTACCATTCGTTTGGTTCACATTTTTGTTAAGAAGATAACATGTTCAAAATTTCTTTTTTAGAAGACACACGTTCAAATTACTAGCTATGTAGATTGCCTCCTCATTAGTCATTAATATGCCAAAGTACGAGCTGGATGCAACAAACTCGAAGCTTAAAATTGTTATTAATACTTTAATACTACTGTTGCTGAAACAGCTGCAGTGACAGGACGTACTATGTGTAAACTCAGACTTTGGCAGTTTGGAGAAGACAGTGCCTTTGGTTACCTATCAAGGCTTGAATTGGTCACCAATCAGCTTGAATATCATGCCTTGTTTACGGACAGAGTTTTGCTCTGTTCTTAGGAAAACTACAAAGGATTCATCCATTTAATTTCCGCGGTCAATTTTCAAGTGTGTTCTTTGTCCTGTGAGGGTTGCAGTGGGAAAGTGAGGACATCATTTGTTATGTGTTTCCCAAAGTTGCACTTGTGTTAGTCGGGCAGTTCTTTTGGCGGTAGGTTTATAATTTGAAACAAAGGTCTGCTAGTGTGATGCCATACGGTCCTTATTTCAGGAACATCTCGTTTAAATACTGACTTTGAAGCTTATTGTTTCCCTGACAAAAATTCTTTGTACGTGTAAAAAATTGATTGGATCATTGTTCTCCTTATTTTGTAATTGTATGAAGGGATGATGATTTCCTCCCTATGCTGGCTTTGGTCTAATAATCTTTGGTACTCCCTCCGTCCCATAATATAAGACGTTTTTTGACACTACATTAGGGTCAAAAAACATCTTACATTATGGGACAGAGGAGTACCTTTCAAACATGTAACCACAGCTTTGTGCTGTTTTCCTTGTTTACCTCGTTTTTTTCTTTTCTTTTGATCTTTGTGTCTGTCTTGCTGTTACTCTCTGTGCCTGTTGGTCTCGAAAAAGAGGCTCGTCAGTAGTCAGACAATTCGATCATACAACTAACCTTTGCATTAGCTAGTATTTTCATGGCCGGTGGGCATCTGTATGGCCAAGGCCTAATATGGGTAATGCTCATCTCTTTTTACTTCTACTTCTCTTTGATCAACTGATTTGTTGTATTCTCATGTATACATTTTGCAGTACTATTCGTATGGTTCACATTTGATAACATGTTCAGAATTACTCCCTCTGTAAAGAAATATAAGAGCGTTTAGATCACTACTTTAGTGATCTAAACACTCTTATATTTGTTTACAGAGGGAGTACTAGCTATATTGATTACCTTCTCATTAGTCATTAATATGACAAAACACCAGATTACCTCCTCATAAGTAATTATTAACAATAAGTCTGGAGAAGACAGTGCGTCTGGTTACCTATCAGGCTTGAATATTGGTTTCATCACCGATCGGCATGAATATCATGCCTCGTTTACTGCCACAGTTTTTGCTCTGTTAGAAGAACTGCAACAGGTTAATCTATTTAGTTTCTGCTACCAATTTTCAGGTGTCTTCTTTGCCCTGTGAGGGTTTGCAGTGGGAAAGTGAGGTGATCATTTGTTATGCTCTTTGCAAGTTCCAGTTATGTTAGTCAGGCTCAGGCAGTTCTTTTGGTTGTAGGTGTATACCCCGAAAAAGGTTCAGCTAGTATGATGCCGTGCGCTCTGTTATTTCATGAATATCTTGTTTAAATGTTCACCAGTTGTGGCTTATTATTATTTCCCCCTAATTAAGTTAAAATTATTTGCGTGAATTGTCAGAAATTGCTTGGATCATTGTGCTGCTTGTTTTGGTAAAGTAATTGCCGAAAATCAGGGCGTCGCCCAGATTGGAGGAAGATAAATTGGCTTGGGGCCCTGGTAAGTTTGGCATGTACACAGTAAAGAGTTCATATCAGCTAGGTTTTGATGAAATGCACAGGAGTGCAGCGACTGGCTCTAGCTCCAGACCTGACGGACAACGCTCCTGCTGGCAACTCATTTGGTCTTCGGATGTTCCACCAACAGTACGCAACTTCACTTGGAGGGTTGCCACTGATTCACTTCCAACATGGAGGAGCACCTTGAAACTAGCGACTTATGTCCAATTTGTGCTACTGAAACTGAGGATAGTTTTCATGCACTGTGTCGATGCACTTTGTCTCAAGTCCTCTGGGATACAATGACGGGTGTGTGGTCATTGCCAAATATTTCTTCCATGGTGAATACTGGGAAAGAGTGAATCTTACATGCTCTACAGCCGATGTCTGAAATTGAAAGGTCTATGCTTCCTATGAAGTTATGGCGGGCGTGGCATATACGTAATGAGGTGGTCCACCATAAATCTCCTCCGGCCATGGATGCTTCTAGACGTTTCTTGGTAAGCTACCTAGAGTCCCTCATCGGTGTTAAGATAGACCTATCAGCTGATCCAAGTAATGTCCGAGATACCACATGTGATAACAAAAAATGAGGCCACGTGGAGTGCTCCAAAATCTGGCTGGGTAATTTTATGCACTGATGGCTTGTTCGTGGACGATGGTTCAGCTGGTGCAGGGATGGTCCCGAGAGATGACAAGGGTGCAATTACATTCTCATCATGTAGGCAACTCTTCTCATGTCGTGAAGCCCTTGAAGCCGAACTATGTGCTTGTATGGAGGGGTTGTCGTTGGCTCTCCAGAGAAGTGATCTTCCGGTCGTGATCGAGATGGATTCGCTTATCGCTGTGAATTTGATTCAGGCCAGGGAAGTGGACATATCAATCTACACTTCGTTCATTAAGGAGATTAGATATCTTCTATCACTCCATGAATCTTGTATTACTCGTATCAGTCGTAGTAAAAAAAAAGTTAGTGATAGTCTAGCTAAGGGCCCATTCGGCAATCCAGCGGCTCCTCAAAATCCATGGATGTGAGGAGCACCGTTTCGCACGCTCCCAGGTTTCTAGTTGCAGCTCCGTCCGCTTCGGGAGCGGAGCAAAACCAAACGGGCCTAAGTTTGCTCGTTTACAAGGCAGAACTATGACTTGGTTCGGTCCAGGGCCTTTGGTCGCTACAGACCTCGCTGCGATTGATTGTATGAATTTGTCAAAGTGAGTAATACAATATTTCACCTGAAAAAAAGGAATTGTGTGGAGGGATGATCGTTATTTCCTCCCTGTGTTGGCTTGGTCTAATGATAATGATGTTTGGGAGTAGTACTGTACCTTTGAAGCATTAACTTTTTGCTGATTTCGTTCTACGAAGCTTTAACTTTCTGCTGGTTTCCTTGCACCTCACGGAAATTGTTTGGATCATTGTGCTGCTTGGTTGGTAAGGTAATTGGGTCGAGGGATGATCATTTCCTCCCTGTGGCCGGCCGCGGTACGCCGGCAAAGGCATCGAGCCCAAAACTTGATGTGTGCAGGCTCGCCAAGAAAGAGGGAGAGCCGAAGGTTGGGGCTGACCCCTAAGCCAGTCCCATAACCCTTTTTTTGTTTCTTTTCTTTTTGAGGATCTTTCTTTACCCTTTTTTTGTTTCTGTAGTGGTGTGTCAGTAGACAGCTGCATTTCAAACGGGCAAAAGATGAGGAAAAACTAGCTGCGTGTGCTCTGCAGGTTGGGGCTGTTTGCCGCGCGCCATCAACGGACAACGGCACTAGTTTGCGGCAGCCGATCGCAACGACACGACACGGACGGTTGCGCTCACGCTGTGTCGACGCGGAGCGCGTCGGTTACTTGTGCCAACTGGACGCTCGCTCCACCATTATAGCCTCACGCGCTTGATTGCGTCGCCGTGTCGCACTCGCACCCCCACCAGTCCACCACGTCTCTTTCGGAGCCGTCAACTCTGCCCACTGCTCTCCCTCGTTCCTGATCTCTCTCCCCTTCCCGTCCCCGCTTGCTCCTCCTGCTCCTGCCGATCGCTCATGGATTCCAAGCCCCAAGCCCCGCCGTCGGAGGGCGCGGCGTACCCGCGCATGTCCCCGGAGGACCTCGCGCCGCCGCCGCCGCCGGTCGTGGCGCCCGCGGGCTCCAACCCCTACGTGCTGTCCTCGCCCTCCTCCGGACCGCCCGCCAAGAGTAAGTCACCTACCACTGCCAACCACCACCTATCTCCTCGCCTCCTGCTCTCTGCTGCTCCAGCTCCTGTTCCGAGACTGGATTCAACATGGTTAGTGTTTTCTTTCGCGGGGGGCATGGTTAGTGTTTGTGCTGACGTTTCTTTTGGGGAATCGATTGCTGCAGGCACCAAGGAGAATCTGAGGGAGATGTTCGGCTCGGTGGGGAAGAGGTTCAGCGAGGCCGCGCGCAAGACCGAGGGCATCGCCGGCGACGTCTGGCAGCACTGTGAGTCTCCCGATTCCCCAACAGATTAGGTGATGAACCATATACCGCACGAGATGATGAACCTCGGCACCCAACCGATTAGACATCTTTCAGTTCAGTAATTCTCCATACATGCTGACCAGTGACCCATGAACCTGTGTGGTGTGGACTTGTGCAGTGAAAACTGGGCCTAGCATTACGGATGCTGCAATGGGGAGGATCGCTCAGGTATCCAAGGTCATATCGGAAGGGGGATACGACAAGATATTCCAGCAGACGTTTGAGTGCTTGCCTGACGAGAAGCTCAAGAAGGCGTACGCGTGCTACCTCTCGACCTCTCATGGTCCGATAATGGGCGTCTTATACGTCTCCACCGCCAAGCTTGCATTCTGTAGTGACAGCCCCGTGGCATATGTCACTGAGGATAATCAGACCGCGTCAGCCATTTACAAGGTAGGTGATCTGCAATACTAGTTCTTATATATTCATTTTAAAACTTAGTTTGGTCTAGAAACGAACATTTTCATATCTTTACCACTACATACTTATACTTAATGAGAAAACACATTATTGCATCACAACCGCTTTATTATACTCCCATTCTGTGTTGTTGAGTCAAACTCAATCTGCTTTGACAGAGCATAAGATTTGTAATGTTTTGCTAATCTGCAAGTCCCATACTAATAGCATTGAACAAGATATGGAAACATCGCTTGTTTTTGTTGTTCCTCTGGGTCATCTAAGCCGAGAGTGATCATTTTTGTTTTGTTTTGTACTCCAACTGATCATATTCATATTTGCATGTTTTCGCAGATAGTTGTACCTGTACCTCACCTGAGATCAGTCACTCCTACCGCAAGTCAACAGAACCCTGCGGAGAGGTACATCCAGGTCGTTTCTGTCGATAACCATGACTTCTGGTTCATGGGCTTCGTGAACTATGACAGCGCTGTGAAGTGTCTCCAGGATGCTGCTCGTGGTGGCGCCTAGACATCACTTCCCCGTCGCATGTATCCGTTGTGATGGCCCATGTTGATGTCTATAGACCATTCTTGTGTATTTTGGTTCAAATTTCTGGCTTAAATAAGCAGTGCATTCATGTATCAGTATTCAGTAGTGTGGATACTTTTCTGGCCCAAGTGTGTTGTAAATATCAGAGGAATCTTAAGCTTTGTTTGCTGCCCTCATTCTTGCACTGCAAATTATGTGTATTATGAGCCAAAGATGCTCCTGCCAGTGCCTTGATAACTTGAGGTTAGTGCATGCTTCAACACACTATCGGTATATGTCTATGGTGAATGCGGCATGCTTCAACACACTCCGAGTGATTTTGAGTTTAAAATCTACCGAGAGAAAAATCCCAGAGCGAAAAAAATAGATAGTGGTTTAGCATCACTCGAATCTTAAGTCCAATACGCGAGCTGCGAACTCTCTAGACGGTTAGGTGTCAAGTTCTTGAGTGACCAAGGGTGATTGTGCTTCACGAAGAAGAAGTCTATAAAGGTTCGGAGATCACCTCAAGTATCTACCACGAGTTCAGTGACAAAGAGTGATTGTGCTTCATGAAGAAGAAGTCTATAAAGGTCCGGAGATCACCTCAAATATCTACCACGAGTGATCGACGGATTGTTCTTCAGGAAGAAGTCTATAAAGATTCACGAAGAAGAGTCTTAAATAAAGTGAAACATTGTGTAATGGATTATATGAATGAAACTCTTTTAGCACCTTACACGGTGAAGTGAGGAATGCTCTGTTTAGCATTGGTGACTTAAAAGGCCCCGGGGCCGGATGGGCCACATGCCATTTTCTATAAAAAGTTCTAACCTATTTAGGTGAGGACTTGATTAGGGAAGTGCTCCAGGTAGTAAACAGTGGCAGAAATCACATATTTGACCTGAGGACGAAATCAAATCATAACCTGACCTGGTTACGAAAAAATTTCACTCTGCTGACCCTTTGGTGTGGCGCCCGACAGCTGGGCGCCGCACCCTACTGTGCAGCGCCCATCACTTAGGCGTCACACTTCCTGCCAGCGTGGCAGCCCTGGTCCAGTTGCGGCCCCACACGCACTTGTGCAGCGCCTAAGGGATAGGCGCCACACTGTGACGTGCAGCGCCTATACCTTAGGCGCTGCACAGTGACTTAAGCGCGGCCGCCCCAGCCCGACCAGGCAGTTTCTTCATCTCTCCGCTCTCTGGACAGAGAGCAGCGGCGGCGCCCCCATCTAATCCCCGCCTCACCCCTCTCCGATCTGAAGATTTGATCCATGGATTCGATCCCCAATCCATCCTACTAGGTAAACTCTTCCGTTCTCTTTCTTTTGCTCCGTAAATTTGTTGCCATTTTAGAGATTTGTCCAAGATTTGATGGAACCCTTGATTTGTTTGATTTGCTCGATTTAGGATGTGTATTCATATTGGTAGTACCGTAGTGTTATTTATTTGTTAGTGAAACCCTAGATTGTTTAGTTTTTTTAGATATATATGAGATGCCTATTTTTATAGATAACTATGAGATGTTGATTTTTGTAGACATATATGAGATGTTTGTTTAGATATATATTAGATGTTGAGTTCATTTGAAATATTAAATGTTTAGTTTATTTGAAATATTAGATGTTTAGTTTATTTGAACACATATGGCATATTCATTGTGTGAGAAGGAGATGTTGAGATTCTTTTAGTTGAACACATGTTATATGTTTAGTGTATATTTGAGATGAAGATGAACTCATGTATGTTTATTGTTTGAAATTGTAAGGATGGTTTGGCTTCTGGACGATGTCTACGACGTGCAACACCGGTCCTACATGATGCGCGAGAAGGATAAGGTAATAATGAGTAATCTAAATCTTTTGCAAATTTGCATTTAGTTGAAATTTACATGCCCTAAGATTTGTCATTACTTGTTTTTTGCAGAAGCTTGAACCTCTGAAGATTCGGTATCACGGGGCCTCTGGTCCTGCCATGCCTTACGACGAGCGGTACACACCGTACATCAAGCAGGCAGGACTACTCCCGTGGATTCTGTTGGTCAGCCGGTCCACGCCGAATCTGAACGCTGCACTGGTGTCCGCTCTTGTTGATCGATGGAGGCCGGAGACGCACAGTTTCCATCTTCGGACTGGGGAGATGACCGTGACGCTCGAGGATGTCTCGTTGATCACCGGTCTTGCTATCGACGGGAGGCCTCTCTGTATGAGCACCGATTCTGATGGGTGGCGCGAGCAGATGATTGCTCTTATCGGTATGGATCCTACCAAGGCTGAGGCTGATGTAGAGGAGGGAGAAGAGAAGAAGAAGAGGGAAAGGAAAGCAGCCGGAGCTGCTATCACGTGGATTCAAAATAACTTTGCGACGTGCCCTCCGGATGCCACTGATGATGTGATCCAGACACATGCTCGTGTGTATATGTGGTACGTTGTGTCTAGGACTTTGTTCCCTGACTCCACTGGCAAGAACGCTCCATGGATGTGGCTAAAGGCGTTGACCGTCTTCGATAGCAAATGGAGCTGGGGTTCAGCGACTCTTGCCTACTTGTACCGGCAGGTAGTTGGTCTGTTTTGTGATCAACTCATTTCTTCATTAGCAATGCAAGCTTGCTGTCAAGTTAACATTGTTTTTCTTTCATATGTAGCTGGACGATGCGTGTTGCAGGATCACAGATAGTGCAGGCATTGGTGGTAATCTGCTTCTACTTTCTGTATGGAGCTGGGAGCGTCTGCCTGTTGGACGCCCGAAGAGCGTCAGGTTTGATCCTTGGTATGCAGATGAACATGACGAATTACGGCGCCCCACGTGGGCTTACAAGTGGGATATCATTTCCGAGATGACGAACGATGTCAATCTCATGTACCAAAAGTACATTGCCGAGTTGGACACGATTACGCCTGAGCAGGTAAGGAGGTCATTACTTCAGTCCTTTCTCATGCTTGCTTGAAAAATAGTCATCAAATTTGCATTGTTGCCCTGTTTCATAGGTGGAATGGCAGCCATATGGCGCGGGTGAGAGCTTGGGGTACACCCAGGAGTTCCGCCTCGACCCGATGTGCTTGCGGGATAAGGATCTCTGGCTTATGCGGTGCCCATTGATATGCAACTGGGCGGTTGAGTTTCATTTGCCGCATTGCGTGTATCGTCAGTTTGGTCTGTTCCAGCCTCACCCACCGGACTGGGTGGACACGGACAAAGCACTTCATAGGTAAGAGAGCATGTCTGCGTATTGTCTAAGCATCGGGACTCCTTTTGATTCTGCTAATGCTTGGTTTTATACCATGTAGGTTGGACAGGAGAAGGCAGCGGAAGATAAAGGACTAGGGCAAGCATCATGCTCCGTATGTTACCCGCTTCCAGCTTTCTGTGGAGCAAGCTCGTAGCACTGCACGCGCCCCACTTCGTGAGCACAACCAACAAGCTTTTGATAACTATGTACGATGGTTTATTGGAACTACTCGAGTTGAGATATGCCCGCCGGCATATAATGAGGATATTCTTGAAGAACCCGTAAACTTTGAGGATCTAGCAAAGGGGAAGTACAACAGAGATGTCAAGAAAGGGCGCGGAGTCCCTGCTGTTCCGGTGATTAACTATGTGGTAAAGTGTTCCCTTCTTTACTTTCCCGTTGACCGTATTACACATGTTTGAATGGCTAACGCATTCATTCTTTCTCATCTGTAGCGCACCGAGATCAAGAAAGCAGCCGATGAGAGCCAGTCTATTCTAGAGAAGACACCAGTTGGAACTGGCAATGATGATGGTTCACTACGAGCATTCCTCAAGGTACATATCGCATTCACTATGAGATCCAGTCTATGTTGTGAAGTTTGATATCTTACACACTTGTTCATGTTACAGCATCAGGCCAAGAAGTTAAGGCGGTTATCGAACCTTCTCGGTTGCCGTGATCCTGAATATGATGAACCATCTGCCTCTAGGTCTGGTACACCATCAGACCCCGCATCTCACCATGAGGGGGACGATGTGAGTTCCTCATATGCTTATATGGATGATGAGGGTGGGATCACCCAAGAGGTATGACTAACCCTTTAGATGTGATTCTCACTTGATTATGACACCGGCCTTCACCATATTGTTTCGTTGTGTGATAGGGCCATGAGCTTGATGATGACATGACTTTGGCGGACGCTCAAGCTCGGTCCGCATATGTGTTCAAGCCTAGGCAGCCCAGACGCCGGTACACGCCCAACGACTATGACAACAGAGGCAACCCAAAGTGGTCGTAGGGACCTCGCGGATGGCTAGCTTGGATGATGAGGTGGAGGAGGAGGCGGAGGCGGAGCCGCATGTGGAGGAGGAAGTGCACGAAGAGGAGCCTCGTGCTCCTAAGAAGAAGAAGATTGCCTGCAGGTGTGGCACCAGGAACACGCGCGGAAGGCATTAGTGCTTTGTGTTAGGTTGATGAACTTGTGAGGTTATGTTATATGATGAACTTGTGAACTTGTGAGGTTGATGAACTTGTGAGGTTATGTTATGGTATTTGTGTTTGCAAACTTGAAGTAATGTTGAATTGTCTTAAATGATATGATGTTCAAGTTATTAGTTCTCTTTGCTTAGCATGTCCAGTTTATAGTACTTTTATTGATGTTCTAGTTATGTGAGTGCTGCTGCAGGAGGCCAAAATGGCATCTGTTTCTGCAGTTTTGCTTATAGCAGCAGTGCAGCGCCCAACAGTTAGGCGCTGCACTGTACAGTGCAGCGCCCTACCCTTAGGCGCTGCACTACTCCCATGGCTTGCATCACATCCATAATACTTACAATGACTGCATCATCACAACAATTTGAACAAACACAAATTTTATGCCGACGAGTTCATAACTTAAGATAATTCAAACATTAGTACAACATGGTTCACGACACATTCATTACAAATGACAAATGGCAGCTTGCCCTACAAGATAGTTGACGACGAGTGCACCGAAGCGAAGTCCCTACCGAGTAGAGCGAGGCCATTTCCCCTTCTTGTCACGTGCC